CCACACACACACATAAATACAGATGAGTGTTTCATTTAGACACAACCACAGGTTCACACATAAAGTAGTGAGATGATCCCATCATAGATCAAGTGATTTTCCAATATTAATTTTGATTCTGGCTCAGAATACCATTACTAAGCATATTACAATCATACTACAGTTTTTTACGATTGCTTAAGCACAATTTTGAAAACAGGGCCCGGTTTGTCAAAACACTACACACAATTAACACACCGACCCTCAATCCTATGTAGAGAATAATACATGTAACTTACTGTACAATGTCACAGGAAGGGGTATCACAAGTGCTGATATGGTGCATACAATAAGCGGCTGATTACTGTAACTGTAGACAGATCTTCTTTTACCTGTTTTCCTGTCGAAAAGTCCTTATGACGGATGCCACTGTATATCTGCTAAGATTTGGCTGAACTCTCAGTCCAGCCTCCCTCAGCGTCAATCCGTGGTTCACAACATGGTCCACTAGTGTTGCACGAATGTCATTTGATAAGTTTGGTCCTCTTCTTCTTTGTGCACGTTCTCCTCCTGCTTCAGGTCTTCCTCTGCCTCTGCCTCTTCCTCGGCCTATGCCTCTTCCTCTACCTCCTTCTCCTTCTCCTCCTCTGTGTACTCCTCCTCTCACCCTCACTCTTCTTCTGACTCCTTCCATTTTGGTTGAAGGCAGGTGAACCTACCTGCTGCATTTTTATAGTGCTTAAACCTGATTGGTGTGTCTACAATTTAGCAATCATGTGTTTGTGCACCTGATGGCTGTGTTTAACAGATTGGCTCATAGGTGTGGTAATTTGACAGTCAGTGCTTTGGAATTGCAAGGAAGTGACATCATGATATACTTCTGTGTCTGATGTATACAAGTGTGTTTAGTGTTTTGCAAATCACTGTGTGTAATGTTTTGCAAATAGTGTGAAGCTGACAATGTGCTTACAGTTGTGCAAATCTAGCCTTGTGTTTTGCTCCTTGAGTGTAAGGTTTTGCTAACTGTTGGAAAAGTTTAATTTTAGTGTGTAAGCAATCGTAAAAAACTGTAAATCATAATAGTAGTGGACTCGTTTATCCCATAATCCTGACTCATACCCCAACACTGTCCTGTTTCATTACCAACACAGCTGTTGTTTCTTCTTTCAAATCCAAAGTTACATCTGAGAGATTCACCAGACCACAGGAACAGACCTTATGAAGACAAACACAACAAGACCTGTATAATTATCTGTCTTTGTGTATGTAAGTATTAATTACAATTCATTCTGCAGGAACCGCGAAGTGCATTATGGGTATTCCCTAGTTGTTGAGACTATGAAGGGAAGGGAAAAAAATACTTCCAGAACCAATGCCGCTGATAAGTGGGCGGCACGAATGAACTATATTTAGAAGATCCTTGGAAGGAACCCTGAAAGTTTATCCTTCGCTTCACCCACCATCATCTGCACACATTCCAGTTCACAGAAGACATCGAAAATGAATCAGCACTGAGCTCTGCCAAGTGTATTATGAAAGTTCATTTTGAGAAGCAGCTTGCATCGGTTGCAGTGCATTGTGGGATGGAATGAGTGCACTCAATAAAGTCCTATAAGTTTTCGCACAGCACTACAAATGTTAGTCCCATCAAATAGGATTCTATATAAGGCTGTATGGACGAGTGATTCACTAAAAAGAACCGACTCATAAGAGTCATTTCTTAGCGAATCGGACTACACTACTCGTGCTGGATTTGTTTTTGCGTGCAGTACATACGAAACGATCGGTTTGTGCCAGAAACCGAACAGTATTTATATCGAGATTCACCACACACGCATATGAAAACTGTGAAGCATCTACTCACCCAAAAGAAGAAGTGTCCACTTCAGCTGTGTGTTAGGAAACATCGTAACTGCTGTGAGATTCCTGTTTATTTACACTTTCGTTTTTGATGTATGAAATTCCATCAAATTCCATTCTAGTTGACTCTTTCTTCTCGTCTGTTGTCTTTCAATCGTCAGGCTTACTGAGGTCTGATAGACTTGAATAAGTGCAAAAATAATGCTCTGATAATGTAACATCCTGAGATGCAGGATATTTCGTATTTACTTCCGATGTGACTGACAAGTCAAAGTGAGAATATGAGCACATCTGAACATTCATGTTGCTTATATGACACTATATCATTGTTTTTCTATCAGGTGACTGGTTTTTTCTATCGCCTAACTTGAGCTTTGAGCCCTAAACCAACCCATTATTAGACTTACAAACATCATCTGAACCATTTATGAGCCTTTTCAACTAACAACAACACGTCAAATATCTTCACAAACCTCACTATATTATGAGGAGATTCCCAGCTAACAGGAAACATTCCCAAAACGTCCTCTGAAAGCTGTGAACAGACCTTCTTCCAGTAAAATTCATAGAATGTTCGTTCAAATTTACTAACGTTCTAAAAATGTTAACACAAATACGTTATTGAAGCATTACATGCATGTTTTTCTGAAATGCATTAGTTGGATGTTACATTGTTTTTGTTACTATTTGTTCAGAGA